TTTTTTTTTTTTTGCTAATCAGCTTTCATTAGTGTTTATGTATTTAATATGTGGCCTGAGACCACTCTAATTCTTCCATTATGCACTGTTTCTCTGCTTCTAATGCGCAGCAGAGAAAAAAAGAAAAAGGCTAGACGCCCCTGGTAAATGGTGCCATGATCTCAAAAAGGGAACATTATGCTGGTAATATACAAAAAAAGTTTGTTTTCAACACAAGTCTTAAGATGTAAGGATTCTGTATGTACCATTTTTATCTGAATAATGAATTAAATTTAGGTTTACGTGAACTATCCTGGTTTAAGAGTGATAAGAAGAAATATTTAGACAGAAGATTCATCTTGTGACTCTCTCATAAAATTCTTTCTGGTCTGCAATACACTTGTAAATGCAGGAAACTGTTATAAGTCAGTGTTTAGATGAGTCTAGAGTGTATTGATGTGAGGGAAAGTCAACATTAATTGAATGAAGGGCTTTTAAGAAGCCTATTATAAGCTCTTATAATGGAAAATGCATTTTCCATTAGAGGTTGATCTAAGGAGCTCTGGTTCTTCACTGAAGCATGAAGGTGTTGTGCTCTGTGCAAATCATTTTATGGCATCCTCTGCTGAGTTCTTTCTGGTTAATCTGTTGGTGTGTCTAAATCTGAAAGGACTGCATCTGTCTTGTTTAAGGAATATAAAAATTTCTAGAAACTTAAACCAAAGATTAGCATATTTTTCATTTATCTAATAGAATACTAAAAAATAAAAAAGCTTTACCCATTTTAAACAGACACAGCAGCACCAGATGTCAGTTCTTGGATCATTTAATCTTTTTTCCTTGTGCTTATTTTTGTTAATATTTTTCTACTGGAGCCAAATATTGGTGTCTGGCTCAGCTTGCGATATAAAAATTTTCCAATTAGATTGCTATGACTTCATTTTTATTCATGAGGGGAAACTTAAGGGAGATCATTACATATTTGTGGCATGTAGGAGATGAACTTCAAAATAAACCACCTGGCCCAGGACAGGGCAGAGTGCCTGGGACTTTAATCCTTTCTGGAAACTGAGGGAGGCTGGCATGAGTCTTCATCCCCTATCCCTAAGTAACTCTTAATTTGTTTTTTTTTTTTTT